GGAACTGGAGCTCAGAGCCTGAGACTCCCTCCGGATTGAAGAAGACAATCGTGTCCTCAGCCTCCAGCCCTCTCCGCATGTACCTCCGCACCTTTGTATTTACTTCAGCACCGCACCTCCTCTAGTCTCGGTATGCTTTTTTCTTTCCTTCTAGTTGTAGAAATTCCACTCAGCCAGCCTTCCTGTGGTTCTGGATGATGTCCGTTATGTCTTTTAGTTGTATTTTTGAAGTGGTTGTACGAGGCAGCTATCTCCGGTGTTTACCTATGCCGCCATCTTGGTTTCTCTCAAGTTTATTTCTAAGTGTCTTAATTTTTTGTTGCAGTGGTAAATGGGAATTGTTTATTTAGTTTCTCTTTCTGAGAATTCGTTATTGGTATATAAAAATGCTGTTAATTTCTGGGTGCTCATTTTGCATCCTGCTACATTGCTGAATTCCTTTATTAAATCTAGTAGTTTTTTGGTGGAGTCTTTAGGGTTTTCTGTAGGGAGCAGCTCTAGAGTTAAGCCTTGGACTGTCCTGTGGCAGAGCCACAAACAAGTCCCAGCTTGGAGGGCAGAGCCCTCTTAGCTTAATTAAGCTTAACCTTATAGTCCTCCCTAGTTCCTTCCTAGGTAGCTAATGGGCTGTGGGAGGTGCATCAAGTGCTGATGGTAAATGGGATTTTTTTCCCTTTCTCTTTCTGTGAGTTCATTATTGATGTATAAAAAGGCCATAGATTTCTGGGTGTTAATTTTGTATCCTGCTGCATTGCCAAATTCATTTATTAGGTCTAGTAGTTTTTTTATGGAGTCTTTGGGGTTTTCTATGTATAATATCATGTCATCTGCAAATGTGGACAGTTTTACTTCTTTTTTTCCAACTTAGATGCCTTTTATTTCTTTTTCTTGTCTGATTTCTATGGCTACTACTTCTAGTACTATGTTGAACAGGAGGGGTGAAAATGAATATCCTTGTCTTGTTCCTGGTCTTAGGGGAAATGGTTTTAGTTTTGGCTCATTGAGTATGATGTTGGCTGTAGGTTTGTCATATATGGCCTTTATTACTCTATTGTTTTTTAAATATTGTCAATATCTTAACTTTTTCAACAGATGACATACATTTATAATAATCATTTAAATGTGTCTGCTCATTTTAACATTTGTGTCAGTTCTAGTTTTATTTCAATTGATTGATTGATTGTCATTATGGCCAAATTTTTCTGCTTCTTTACATTTTGGGGTCTTGGGCATTTCTATATTCCTTGAAATACACCTGAAATTTGGTTTTGGAAGAATTAAGTTACTTCCAAATGTTTTGAATATTTTATGTCTGTTTTGCTTAGTCCAAAGTTAATTGTTTCCCACTATTAAGGCAAGATCCTTCTGTGTAATCTACTTACTTCTCTGTGGATCTTAAAATGTTCTAGTCTGGCTATGGGAACAAGCAACCTTCCTGGTCCTAGATGAGTGTCAAGGACTGTTTCCTCTGAACCCTACATGGTTTTCTCTTTTCTCAGGCAGTTTCCTCACATGCATATGTTGATCATTTCTTACGAGAATATTCTTGGGGGCCCCACTTTTGATCTCCAAGTTTGTCTCAGCATGCTCTGTCTTTTCTTCAATATTCTCTCCTCACCAGACTCTCAGACTAAATTATTGGATTTAGTCTCTGCCTGAATTATTCAGCTCTGTGTTGGCTTTGAAACTATGCTGGGGCATTTTCTGTTCAATTCTCAGGAATCATTACCTTTGTTGCCTGATATCTATTATAAATATCTATTATAAATAAATATTTGTTTCACATGCAATACCATCACACCGTGCATTTTTCAAGCCCTTTGTTTTATTTATTATGTTGATCATAATTCATAATTATTTTATGTACCTTTGCTTTTTTCTGTCTTCATTTACCAAAGCTTCATTAAAGGTGGAACAATGTATCACTTATTTCTAAATGTCATTCTAAAATATAGAACAATGCCTGGTATACAGTAGACATTCAGTAAATAGTTTTTGAATTAATTGGAATTGATGATTTATTGCCTACAGTGATTAATAGCAATGAATTTTAGGGTTATATTCAGGTTTCCAGTTTGAACATCTTAGTGAATTTTGGGGTCATTCATTGACCTAAGGAGTACAGTTGAGGACTATAAATTCAGGACATGATTATGAGCAGAGTTTTAGACATAATGAATTTGAAATATTTATAAATATTTAAACTTATGTTTCTGGTAGACATTTGGAGATATAGAGCTATAGCTTTGGAAAGATTATGAATGAAACAGATTACAGTATTATCAACATCGATAAGGTAAATGAATTCATAGAGAAAACTAGTTTCCCTAGGACAGTCATTTTAAACTGGGGATAATTATATCCATCCAGAAAATGTCTATAACAATACCTGGAGATAGTTTGGTTATCATAACCAAGGAAAAGACAGATGAGGAGAGAAGTGCTACTGGCATCTGCAGGGTAGATACCAAAGAAGCTCCTAAACATCCTACAGGTTAGAGGTGAGCCCTCCAAAACAAAAAATTATTTAATATAAAATGTCTAGAATGCTACTATTGAGAAACCCAGAGTTTGTAGACACACTCTCCTAGTGTTGTCAATTTGCCAACACTAGCACCTCTTTCTAAGGTGTCTCCTACATTGCAAAAGAAAACCCATGAACTGCATTCCCAGAAATTGCCTTTTCTGTTTTCTTATTAGTTAGAATTTTCCAATTAGAGGAACCAACAGATGAGTTTAGATTCATCTAAGTGAGCTCTTAGGAACCACAGGATTTCTAATTTCAGACTGAAATATTAGAAGTTTCCAAGAGACACTTTAGTAAAGTTTTCAAACATGTTCTGTGAAGGACTGGAGAAATATTTTAGAGTCTTAATATAGTTGAATAAGCCCATAAATACTATATTACACTCTTTATAGATAGAATATAAAGAGGTCTTCATTTTTATTAGCAAATATGGATAGATATACATACCCCTGTGCCTTTATACTTACTTTGACTAATATACAAACTCATTGCGCCTGCAAATATTGTTTCTTGTTCAAAATATCATTATATATGATTATATAATGTCGATTGTTCTAAGAATAGAGGATATGAGCATTTGTCTTTCACAAATGAAAAATAACAGGTATCAAGTTATTTTTCTTTTATTTCATAGGAATTTGGTGCCAAAGTAGCAGTAAACAACATGTCTTTGAATTTATATAAGGGGCAGATCACTGTTCTTCTTGGAGAAAATGGGGCAGGAAAAACTGTCACCTTGTCTATTCTCACAGGTATGTATTCAGCTCTGTCCAGAGCAGAAGTCAGGTTTCTTTTAAGACTGTAAATCAATCAATAACTTGTGATGTTGAGTATGTCATTTCAGCTTTAGTGTTCTTACAGTTTCAATTATTTACAGCCAAGATGCTTCATTTGATGTAAAACATTTTATTCATTTATTCAATGATAAATTTTATATATAATTTTTTTTAGGAATTTACAATGCAGAGATGATTACAAGGCTATTACACTCAATTTTATACTCTGATGGAAATACAGACAAAAAAAAACTTGAAACTAACACCATAAGTAAGATGATAAATACTATATGTAGGATACCATTCACCCAATAGAATAGTGATGAGGAATAGGGAAGTGACATCAATCTGAGGCAAATACAACATATAAAAAGCTATGAAGGAAAAGAAAGAAGAATATTATAGGTATAAGCAAAGACCAGGAGGCTCAATAGCAGAGGTCATCTATACAACTAGATCAGATAAAAAAGAAATTTAATGGCGAAAGTTTGATGAATAATCAAAAGGTCAAATCACATCTGGAAGATGGCTGCTGATGGGACAGTAGGCTGTAAGATAGTGTGTGAGTGAGAGAGCAAAAGGAGAGTATGTGGACATGTGGTGAGTGTCTGTATTTGTGAGTGAGGGACAGCTACATTCCATAGGACTGTTGGGGACTGGTCGACCAGGCTCCCCTGGCCGGGCAGCCTCTACTACTACTGAAATCTCTGCCAGAGCGGCCAGCTCTGCCGCAGAGACTGCACCATCTTGAAGGGGAGAGCGGCTGTGATCAGAAGCCCAGCCTTACCTTCAACCGGGGAGACCTTGGATACCTCCCAGGACCCTAACAACCACAATGCCCAGAGACCAGCTGCCTCAGCTGTGAACCCACAAACACCGAGACTCCAGCCTCCCCAACCATGGGCGCCTAAAAAGTTTGTACAGGGGAAGACAAAGCGGCGACAAATACGCGGACGGGCACTGTGCCTTCTCACAGAGCAGATAGAAGGAGCAGCTGAATTGAATAACATCCACCTGGAATTGATGAATTAAACACAGCTGGTGATGCAACCCATGGACAGAAAGGTCAGAGATCGATCACCTAGAGCAGTGGTTCTCAACCGTGGCTGCACATTAGAATCACCTGGGAATCTTTTTAAAATCCTGATTTCTGGGCCTCATCCTCTGGAAATTCTGTTTCTTTGTTATGGGGTGGGGCCACAACATCAGTGGAGGCCTCTAAAGCGGAAGGGGTCCACAGGGCTGCTGGCAGAAGCAGACTCTAGATATAAGCCCACAGCCGAGAGAATCTGTGCCCAGAAAGGAAGCCTGAGGTTCTATACCGGCTGCACAGTGCCAGGAGAAAAAGACACGAGTTGACGCAGTTCCCTTTGTCTTTCTTTCTTTTTTTTTTCTTTTCTTTTCTTTTTTTTTATTTTTTTTACCTCCTTGCTTTTGCTTGCTAAGTAGAGTACAGAGGATCTTCCAATTAAAAACACTCACCAAAATTGCAGGGGAAAGCTGTTTTTGTGGAAACTGGGGATCAGAATAAGGAGAATCAAGCAGGAAACCAGCGCTGGGACAGTCCATTCCTCCAACCCAGTATTAAGTGTGGCAGGGAAAGAAGAGTCTAAACCAGGGGTGGGCAAACTTTTTGACTCGAGGGCCACAATGGGTTCTTAAACTAGACCGGAGGGCCGGAACAAAAGCATGGATGGAGTGTTTGTGTGAACTAATAAAAATTCAAAGTAAACATCATTAAAAAAAAGGGT